TTGATTCCGATTAGCTTCTACAACTGACCAAAGTTTGAAGTTACTACTGCACTGCATCCAGAACAACAAACACGCCAAGGTACCAACTAAGCATCCTTCATTGCAAATTCTACTCTTCCTTGTGCCATAACTGTTAGTGTTATTAGTGTACAGAAAAGCTGTAAAGTAAAGCATAGCTAGTTGTCATTTATATTATATAATATGTAATGTTTCCTGCTTTCGGTGCCTAACTTAGCATCCTATGCTGTCATCTCCTCTCTATAAAGAGAGTGTTCATCTTCTTGTAATAACACACAGAAATACAGAGTTATTCATTTTGCTCTCTCTCCCTCTCTTTATCAAACTATTCTTACACTTGCAATCCCAAACCAAACTAAACCGTGTTCGTCATTAACAGTGAAACAAAATCGAAAAATTACAGTATCCAATCAAAGTTTACACAAACAATGCATGATTCAGTGCTTTCATGGTAAGTTTGATTGCTTAGTTTGCGCCAAACCACACAGAGTTGCGAATTAACAAAATCGTAGGGTTTAACAAAATCCAAATGCGATATGAAGTCGATTCGAAAGAATGAAGAAATAGTCGAGAGAAAGACCTGTGATAGTTCCGTGAACAACAGTGCCGTTTTTTAGCTCGATTGAAACGGTCTCATTGTTCAACTTCATCAAGAATCTACAGAAGACGAACCAGGAATCAAATTACTGAAGCGTTCCAGAACAAAGAAATTAAAGAGGTTTGTACATACAAATGAATGAAATCAAGGTAGAAATGAAAAGATTGACAGACCTAACGAGCTTCATCGTCGATTGCAGGAGAAGCTGAGAGAGGATCAACTTTACTTCACTATTACTTTGCTTTCCTGCTTTTTTAGGGTTTCAAAATGGAAGATAGGTCGGTCAAGAAGCGGGATAACCGAATTATACAAACTGGGAGAGTGAGTTTGTAGCTAAATTAGTTTTTTTAAAAAATAAAATAAAATAAGTTTTTTAGTTTAATAAAATAAAATATCACATTTTAATTTATAATTATTATAATTTTTTTTTCACTAAAAAGTTAAAAAAATTAAAAAAATTAAAAGTCCTTTTCAAATCAAGTTTTTTAATTTCAAACTAAAATAATTATAAAAAAAAATCAAAAAAACTAAAAAATCAACTCACTTCCTAAACTAAGCCTATATAATTGGGAAGGATTTCGCTTCTAGACTATAGAGAATGCTCACCCAAAAATTTATCAAAATTTTATTAAATGTCTTATATAGGTATGAGACTGCTATCATATAACAAAGCTGTTACAAGGCCCGAAATTTTCAAGCTCGAATTTGCCCCAAATCCAAAACGACGTCGTTTTGGATTATCTTACCGGTAAAAGAATTTTAATATATTTTACCGATAAGAGAATTTTATTACATATTACCAGTAAGAGAACTCAAAACGACGTCGTTTTAGATTATCTTACCGGTAAAAGAATTTTAATATATCTTATCGATAAGAGAATTTTATTACATATTACTAGTAAGAGAACTCAAAACGACGTCGTTTTGGGTTTCGAGCCAAACGATTTCGAGCCCTCAAACAATTTTCTATCATGTAAATTTTATGCGGGTCTCACAATGTGAGAGTTTTGATAGAAATTTTAATAAATCTTTAAAGATGTTTAACATTATTCATTTTATTGGTAAAAATTATTAGATTGAGATTTTTTATGTGAAGCGTGTATAATAGAATTCTTCTTTGTTTTATTATAATGCTTAAATTTTATGATATTTTTTGGTAATTGTCCCTAACTTACTTCACTAACTACCTTCAAAAATTGTTTGGAAAAAAAATTAATTTAACAATAAATTACATGGATAGGTTTTTTAAGAATTTTAATTTATAAAATAGTTCGCTCATTTTTTTGTAAATAATAATTTGTTAGTTACGTGGATGACAAAATAATATTGTCATTTTTTTTTTACAATAAAATTTTATTTTATTTATTTGTTCTTATAATTTCATTTCATTTGTGTTAGTTCCATTCTAGTTAACCTTATGAAAAATAATGTTAGTATAATTATGTTAAAATTGTGAAAATTGTAATATTTCTTAAAACTCTAAAAGTGGTTAATGTAATTTTCCTCCAAAACAATTGCATGGTATAACAATCAAATTCGAACCCAAACATTATATCATGTCTATTAAGAGAGTGTCGCACTTATCAAATTAACTCTTTAATTTTTCCGAAAATAATTTATTTTATGAAATTTAAATTTAAAAACCATTTTCACTTATAAATAAAAATGATGTGCTTTGATTTTTAATTTTTTTTAAACGTTTACTAGCCATACTATTCTTTCCTCTCTTTTTTTTTCGGCTTTGTAATGCTACTGTTAGTTTATCAATTTTTGCTTTGGGAATACCTTCTTCTTTTGGGCTTTTGGGGGTGGGTCTTAAGCCCAATTACAACTGAAGGGAGAGAACCAGGCCTGGGTTGCCCTATCAGTTTCTGACTGTGATACCAATTTCGTACACCCCCAAATATTAGCAATTGAATTTTGTTTCTCATTCTTTTATTTTTTTAAATTTTTTTTAGGGCAATCTTTTTGGGAAATTCGACAACACATCCTCTTTGGGTACGTACCATATATCCTGATTACGACATTAATGGCCTTTAATTATAATTTATTATAATGTTAGTTATGACCATTATATTTTATAATTTATTATAACTAGTATATCACCCGTACTATGCACAGATTGTGTTTACAATTATCTATATATGTGAATTGTGATTTTTAAATATATTTTTTTAAATGTCTTCTTTTTTTACTTTTTTATATTATATTAAAGTTTAATATTTTGATAATAATCATATGTGTTGCACTTTTTAAAGAATTAAATGTTTTTTTTTATATTATATATATTAAAGTTTAATATTTTGATAATAATTATGTGTTGGACTTTTCAAGAATTTTTTTTATGCTTGTTCTTAATGCATTAAAGTGTTATAATGAGGGATAATAATCATATGTTTTGGGACTTTTCAAGGAATTCATATGTGTTGGATTTTAAAGAATTTTGTTTATGCTTGTTCTTAATGCATTAAAGTGTTATAATGAGGGATAATAATCATATGTATTGGAACTTTTCAAGGAATTCATATGTGTTGGATTTTAAAGAATTTTGTTTATGCTTGTTCTTAATGCATTAAAGTGTTATTATAAGGGTAAGATTTGGGAGTTGCGAGAAGTTAATAAATGCAAAGATTTTTTTTTTTAAATCAAAAAATCAGGAAATTTAGATTGGGAGATTGGAGCTCCCACAAGGCTTGGGGTTAAAAACCTCCTTTTACTTAATATATAGTGTAGATATTAGTATATTAATTGATATATATATAGTATTATTCTTTCAGTTATGATTAAAAAGATCTTTAATTAATTTTTTTATTATGAACTTTTTAAAAATTATGAATAAAATAGAATTTTTTTTGCTAAGATACTAAAATAGAATTTAATTATAACATTTGTGATAATTAATACCACAATTTTTATTACTTAAAAAGTTGCACCATCTTTCTTTAATTATTTTTGATCATTTGGCCTGATTTACCCTGAAAGGAAAATACTTTGGTCCCTAATATAATTATGCTGCACTTATAGAATTTATCGTTTTTTTCCACCCAAACTTTAGGTAAAATGAGTGTAACTTATCGAATACTTCTACACATAGAAATTAATTTTTAAAAAGTCTTATTAAAAATAAGTTTTAGTTAAATTGTTGTTAACAATAATTTTTTGTAATAATTTTTTATATATGTTATTAAAAATTGACAATTAATGATTTTATTTGTCCCGATTTTTATAATTTGTCCCTAAAATTTACAATTAATATTTTTTTTGTAACGAATTTTTTAAACTATCAATAAAAATCGAAAATTAGTGATTTTTTTGTAATGATTTTTTTAAATTGTCGCTAAAACTTATAATTAATGATATTTTTATGATAATTTTTAAACTGTCGATAAAAAATAACAATTAATGATTTTTTAAATATTGTTTAATGAGAAACGTCATTAATCATAGAATCTATTGAATAATAAGCCTACTTATTGATATTTATACATAAATTTCTCTTAATTTTAAATTTTTTTTATAAAAAATATATATATATATAAATAGAGATAATGAGGTAATCAAATATTTAGAATTTTTATTTATTTTATAATATAAAAAATAAAAATAAAAAACACCCCCCAAACGGTTAATTAGGCCTCGTTTGGCAAGAGGCTATTTTAGTCAATTAGTTAAAAAGTTACTAAATTAGTCAAAAAGCCAACAATCATACCAAAAAGTCAAAGATTCTCTTTTCTCTCTACTTTTTGCACATCTTTTCGTAATTAGCCAAAAAGTCATCCCAAACATACAAGTTTTTTTTATCTACCTTTTTAGCTAAATAGCCAAAAAGTTACTAAATTAGCCTGTTCCCAAACGAGGCCTTAATAGATTGTTCCCAAAAAGCGATACGGTGACTGCAGTGTCCCTACCTCCATTGACAAATTTTAAATCTTACAAAAATAGTACAAAAGTTTAACTTTCATTGACAAGCACCAAAAATTATTTGGACCACTAAAAAAGAATTTCTAATGCATCTTTAGCCTCTGTTTGGCAAGATGGTTTACAGGCTTTTTTGGTTATTTTAGCCACAAAAAATAAAATAGGCTATTTTAGCCATAACAAACAAAACATCACATCCAACCTATAATCATTACATTCTTCTCTCACAAAATAAATAAATAAAAAACACCCCCCAAACGGTTAATTAATAGATAGTTCCCAAAAAGCGATACGGTGACTGCAGTGTCCCTACCTCCATTTACAAATGGAAAATGAGTGAGAGTACTAATTAGTGTTATCATTAATGATATAGCAGTGGGTCTCATCAGGAATGATTTGATGTTTTGGCCTTGATATTGTATTTTTTTTTTTTATTGAGTACCATGTCATTAGTGGTCTTTTTAAAGTTTCAAAATTAATGATCTCTATCATTGTTGTTGGCAAATTTTAAATCTTACAAAAATAGTACAAATTTTTATATAGGTGACAGCAGCTGCACTGTTGCAACTCTAATTAGAGCTCCGGAGCATGACCCGACAAGTACAGATATTGACAATGAAGTATGTTGATGAAAAAATTAGAGTAAAATTAAATGGAAAAGACAAAAATTTATAATTAAACAAAAAAATCATAATTAAATATTACAAAATAATGTCATAATTAAAAAATTAATCATAATTAATGAAAAAAATAACGTAACTAAAGATATATAATATGTGGATGTGTATAATAGAATTCTCTAAATTATTCAAGTAAGTATTACCTATTATGACTCCGCATTTTTCTTGAAAAAATTATCAATCAATGGTAATTTTTAAAAATTATTTCACATTAATAAAAAAATTATAATTATAATTATTAATATTTATCACCTTTTGATAATTTTTTTGCCTAACTATTTTTCCATTTTTCTTTTCTTAACATTTCCTTCTTTCTTTTTATTTTTTATAATATAAAAACAAATATTAACTTTTTTTGTTTCCATTTTATTAACCATGCAAGGTGAAAGACAAATTATTCTTTTATTCTCTCTTCTATTCTATTTAGGGGGATTTTTTTTTAGGGTCCCTGGTATTAAGTTTTTAGAGCATAAAAAGGACATTCAATATTTTCATAATGTTTAAGGTCCTTCACACATCGATCCAAAGAAATTTCAATCCAGAGAAAATTAAAAAATTTCTTAAGTTTGCACAAATTTCTCTGGTTTGCACAAATTTATCTAATTTGCAAATTTATTTGGTTTGTACAAATTTCTCTGATTTGCAAATCTCTTCAAACTTTCATTTCAGACACTGAAACTAAAATGTTTTCATTGGAGTTCAACAAAATAGAGCTGATTGTGTGGTTGTGTTTC